TCTCTTGACCTCGTGATCCACCCGCCTCGGCCTCCCAAAGTGCTGGGATTACAGGCGTGAGCCACCGCGCCCGGCTAATTTTTGTATTTTTAGTAGAGATGAGGTTTCATCATGTTGGCCAGGATGGTCTCGATCTCTTGACCTCGTGATCTGCCCATCTCGGCCTCCCAAAGTTCTGGGATTACAGGTGTGAGCCACTGCGCCCGGCCAGGGTTTCTCTAGGTACTGAATTGACTAATAGTTACTGAATATAATGGATATACTTGAATATGATGAATACAGTCATTCTGTGACTTAATATAGCACTTTATTAAGGAGCAATTGCTTTGTGACATTATCTCATTCCCCCTTGTGCGGCAGTTTCACCATTTTCTTCATAGTAAACAGAAAAATAATGGGTTATATGTCTTGCCTACCTATGCTGTTGACCTCTGTGTAGTTTCAACTTTTTACGTTGACATCCTTTCATTTGACAAAGCGTTTGTGTAGTGAGGCTTGATGGTTTTAAAGATGATATTATTTGTTTTAGGGCACCATTTATTACAATCAAGAGGGCACGTGTTGGTACGAGGGAGACTGGGTGCAAAACATCAAAAAGGGCTGGGGCATAAGATGGTAGGTGTGATCGCGGCCGCGCTTGGGGTGTGGGCCCAAATAATGTTCACTTCGGATATTTAAAAGTAAGGTGCAAAAGTTGTAAAGAACATTTTCTCTCTAAGCAGAGTGGAATTTTTTTTTGAGGGAGCGGGGACGATGTCTTGCTCTGTCACCCAAGCTGGAGTGCAGTGGTGGATCTTGGCTCTCTGCAACCTTCACCTTCTGGGTTCAAGTGATTCTCCTGCCGTGATTGTATCACTGCACTCCAGCCTGGGTGACAGAGTAAGATCCCATCTCTAAAACTGGCCAAATATTAACTAATCATGATACGATAAAAAAGATTTAAAAAGCCCAGTTCTTTCCCACCTTGTCACCTTATTAAATAATCAATCAGAAGGTTTAATAAGGTGATCCATTCTGCTGCTCCCTTAGGACCACGTGCCTATTCATT